TGCCACTCAAGGTGGTGGTAGCAGGAAGCTCAGCCAAGTGGTTAATAATGACAGCAGCAAATATTCATCCCCTATGTAAGGCAGTGCCCTAAACGCTTTGCATTTGTCAAAGTTCACATAACAATGCTATGGTACCCTGTCAGCTCCATTTTTCAGGTAAATAACAAAGAGGGTGAGTAACCAACTAGAAGTCACAGAACAGGAAGAAGGGCTAAGGTGCAAACTCAGGCATTGTGCAGAGACACTTGGGCTTTCTCCTGTGCCCCTACAGGACCTCAGGCTCTCGCCAGCTGGGCCCAGCCAGGTCGAGATGCAGAGTGGTGCGGACACCAGGAGCCCCTGGTTCCTCCCACCCCTGCACATGCAGAGTTCCATCTGCTAGAGTTCTGTAAAACACCCCTAGAGTCAGAGCCGCACAGTGGCTGGCTCCATGGTAGGAGCCACTGCTGCCTCCGAGGGAAAGGCCTGCCCCACTTGCTTTAACCTTGCTGTCCCTTCTCCCCTTAAGCCTCAAGGCTGTCCTGTCCGGGAGCCCCCCAGACAACACAGTGGACCTGTCAGGCATCCCACTGACCTCCCGTGACCTGGAGCGGGTGACCAGCTACCTGCAGCGCTGCGGGGAGCAGGTAGACAGCGTGGAGCTGGGATTCACAGGCCTCACGGACGACATGGTCCTGCAGCTGCTGCCAGCACTCAGCACCCTGCCCCGCCTCACCACGCTAGCGCTCAACGGCAACCGGCTGACTCGGGCCCTGCTCCGTGACCTCACTGACACCCTTAAGGACCCCAGCAAGTTCCCCAATGTCACATGGATCGATCTGGGCAACAACGTGGACATCTTCTCATTGCCCCAGCCCTTCCTGCTCAGCCTGCGCAAGCGCTCCCCGAAGCAGGGCCACCTGCCCACCATCCTGGAGCTGGGTGAGGGCCCAGGAGGTGGGGAGGAGACCTGGGAAGGGACAGTGGACCAGGAGGACCCTGGAGGGGGCCCTGTGGCATCTGATGAAGAGGGCGAGGAGACTGTAGCTCAGACATGACACTGAAGTGGGAGTCTCACCAGGGAGTCCTTGTGGGGTCGGATGGCTGAGGCAGGTTAGGGGCTCCTCCCATCAGGAGGCTCAGGCTATTGCCAAAAATTGGCCTGGGCAGCCCCACCCCCTGAAGGGCAGACCTACATCTGGGAGAGGGGAATTTGTCTAACACTTCTTTGGTCCTCTCCATCTCCTGATAAATACCACTGTCTGCCTTTTGGCTCTTAAGAAGTCAGCCCTGGCTCAAAAAGCTCCAGGCACCCCTCTAAGCTCAGCCCTTGAACTCCCCAAACACTTGTGGAAATGGGGCATGTGGTTTGGAGGTGCTGGAAACTTGTGCCAATGTGAACACTAAGAGGTTTTCCCCAGAAAAATATGGTTGGGCCCGCATCTAACCCAGGGTTTTCCAGTTCACTACAGTTCTGTTTGGGGGAACTCCAGCCAAATCTAAATATGTCCACAGTCAAGGGAGCTTGTCTTCTTTCCAGTTGACTCTAGTTAACTGAAGAACCTGGGGGCAAAAGGCCGTTGCCAGCGACCCCAGAGGAGCCTAGTTACCATGTACACCAAGGGCGGACTGAAGGAAGGTGGTCTACCTTGGAACTGACTTCCCAGTCTCAGCCTCCATTTCTGAGACCCACCCTAGGAATCACAACATCCTTCCTAATTCAGACATCCTGTGGTACCAGTTAGCAGTACCCAGGGCAGAGTAGGTGCCCTTGCACACATGCACACAGGGAAGGGCCTACTCAGAAACCGCATAAACATCCCCAAGGGCTCCAGCATGCTTGCCGTACAGCCAGAGTGATGAGCTTTGCTTCCTTCCCCTATGCCAGTATGAAGTTAAAGGCCCTTTTCCCACAGAATTCTTTTCTCATGAAGCCCCAGAAATAACCTATATTTTGGGCACATTCCTAAAAACCTACTACAGAAAGGTCCTAAAAACCAATGACCAGGGGCCGAGCCCGTGGCGCACTCAGAAGAGTGCGGTGCTGGGAGCGCAGTAGCGCTCCCGCCGCAGGTTTGGATCCTATATAGGGATGACTGGTGCGCTCACAGCGCTCACTGGCTGAGCATGGTGCGGCCGGTCTCAAAAAGGACAAAAAAAAAAAACCAAGGACCATGATCATAAATAAGACAGCTGAAAGGGGAAAATAATTGCCTCTTTTACCCCAACACTCAACTGGTGAAAAGGCCCTACCAGTTTAAAAAAATTCCTCCTAGACACAGTGAGCAACCTCTAAACCCACATCCAGGGAGATTGGGAGCCAATCATTCTTGAGCCAGAGAATAGGAACCAGTACAGGTTCCCAAACTGGGTGAACGAAAACGTTGCAAGGGAACATCAAGAACAGACCTCTTGCCTCAAGTTAGACGCCAACACGGGAAGGCAGCTAGGCTATAGGGTCTTGCATGTTTTGGGCAGGCACAGTGTACAGCCAATTAATGGTTTAAATGCTTCAGGAGCTGGCGGACAGCTTTGTGAAGGGATAGCCCAGACGTAGCAGGCACTGGAATAAGCGTGTGGATGCCTTAAATGGTTTGGAATGTTTGCTCTCAAAGTCTAAAGTTGTTAAGAGGGGAGAACTTAGGCTGACCATAAAAAATTTACAATATCTAACTGCAAATACCTGGACTGCTAATATGACAGCAGTAGTCAAATTTTTCAAATACACATTTTTTAAGAACCAATACAAAGACCATTCTTTATTACAGTATTAGCTCATGGTAACTGCATGAAGACATTATTTTCACAAGAAATTAACAGTTTCCAGCTTCAAGAACTCACCCCCTGGGGGCCGGCCCCGTGGCGCACTGCTTCAATGCGCCGCTTGGGAGCGCAGCGGCGCTCCCACCGAGGGTTCGGATCCCACGTACAGACCGG